CTCTCTCTCTTCTTCTCTCTCTCTCTCTCTATATATATATATATATATATGTGTATATGTGTGTGTGTGTGTGTGTGTGTGTCATACGTACATACATATAACATTAAATTATTGACCAATTACCAACTGCTAAAAACGTTGAACTACTGAAACGCTTTCTATTTACTTGTATGTCAATAACCTTATTGAAAATAATTATGTACAAATAACACGTATGTGTGTGTGTTTGTATTAATTATATCACACTGAGTTATTTACTAATTACCCACTGGGAAAAAGAAAAGCCTTGAAAGTTAAAGTTTTTCTTTCTGCTTGGAAGCTGAGGCTTTTTTTTTTCTTCTGAAGATAAACTCCTTCACGTGACTGCTTGGTCAAAGTTCTTTAAGTTTAAGTACCGAAATATCGTATAATAGTCAGCCAGTCATTAAAACAATTACATTGTATCCGTTAATAGTAGACTAGCGTTGTTGAACAGTAAGATACGATCTACACGTTGGTTTTACTGATATTTCATCATGGCTTCTCACGATAAAGTAGTGCATCTTGCTAGTGGTCAAAATGTACCCATTATTGGACTGGGAACATGGAAGGTATTTTTCTTTAGTATTTACTTATTAGCTATTTATTTTTGGAGGAAGGCTGTAAAGTTTCTGAAATAATTAAATATTCCATCATGAATGGTTAATTAATAAATCTAAAATACATGGAGTTAAGTAAAATTATAAAAGAATGAGAAAATCAGGAAATTATAAATAGCTTATGAAAAATAGTTGATTGATGATGTTAAAACTAAAAGTAAAACTGTTATAATGTACTCCTTCAGACTTACCGCTGAGCCACTGGGGGCAAGGGCAATAGAGCATTCAAATGACTGCAGAAAGATTGTTCAGGAAGTGGGACAGAATGCAGCAGGATTTTTAAAATCTAAATACAGCAAATAAACAAAACTTTGTCATCAGTATCCTCTAGGTATATGTCAGCCATCTCATAGTCTACAATAAACAAAACTTTGTCATCAGTATCCTTTAGGTATATGTCAGCCATCTCATAGTCTACAATAAACAAAACTTTGTCATCAGTATCCTTTAGGTATATGTCAGCCATCTCATAGTCTACAATAAACAAAACTTTGTCATCAGTATCCTTTAGGTATATGTCGGCCATCTCGTAGTCTACAATAAACAAAACTTTGTCATCAGTATCCTTTAGGTATATGTCAGCCATCTCATAGTCTACAATAAACAAAACTTTGTCATCAGTATCCTTTAGGTATAGGTCAGCCATCTCATAGTCTACAATAAACAAAACTTTGCCATCAGTATCCTTTAGGTATATGTCCAAGCCCCATTTTAACATTTTGCTTGCTGTTAATTTTACTTTTAGTAAAACTGACAACTGGATTTCGATACCTGTAGTAGACGTAGCATAAATAGCCCATTCTAGCTTTACACTTAACAATGAAAAAACAAATATAATCAAAAACTTTTGATAAGATACCACACGAAAAATAAACTAAGAAAATTACATCACTAGAAGTTGGAAAAAGACTAGTAAATTGGATTGTAGGATAGCTGAATGGGAGAAACAAAAGATTGTTATTCCAGTCAAATGGGACCTTTTTGTTTTTAGTGTTTTTTTCTCAAGGGTCAGTGGTTGGCCCATTCCATTTTCTTATTAACATAATAATATTGATATGAGCATAATTAGTAAATTATTAAAGTTTGATTACATTAAACACTGGCTTTTCTACCTGTATTTATGATGTTTAGGTATTACAGAATGACTTGTATCAATTGAACAGATATTTAGCAAACAACTTTTAATCATGGTAATTGCAAGGTAGTACATGTGCGTTATTAGTTTTAACATTATCAGCTATCTGTTTCTCAGAAACTGTCTTGGATTTCCTGATTTCTTTTTTCAAATAGTCCTTTGTTTTCATTGACCTGTGGTTCTGAAAATGTTCCAACCTATCTGGAACTATATACTTAAGGCATCTGGGCCATATGATAATTTCCCAAGGAAAGTAAAATAGGTTAAGGTTTACATAGGGAAGGTGCCAGAAGACTGGAAGCTAGCTAATGTAATTGTAGGTCAATTAGCCTTACTTCTGTAGTGGTAAAAGATTGTTGGACAGTCAGCATGGTTTCACATGGGGAAAATCTTGTGACTGCTTATGTTGGTAAAGGATTTGATTATCAGATGGCTTTTGACAGAGTGATACATATGATTTGTAAATAAAATTATCTTTTTGGATGTGGGGGATACGTTAACTTGATGGATTTGGGGGTGGAAGAAGCAAAGGGGTGTAATAAATGGAGTCAAACTGGATTAAAGTAGTAAGTGGGGTACCTCGGGGGGGTCTATACTTGGGATCTTTGCTCCTTTTGCTAGTGCACTCTCTAATAAGAAAAAAAACTTGCCTGGTGACCTAAAAATTGGACTTCTGGATATTAGGAACTGAAGTTTCATTTCTTTGTTATCTCAACATTTAGCAAAACATGGTCGACACTCTGATAATTTCATATAATATTTTCTCTTGAGAAGAGAATGGAACTCGTGATCTTATTGAAGTTTACAAGATCATCTGGGGCAGTGATAAAATAAAGGCCCATGATTTCTTTGTGCTGTATTCTGAAGACAAGAGGGCACAATTTTGAGATTTGTAAAAGACGCGTATATCTTTCTAGTAGGATGATCAGACAATGAAATTAGTTGTCATCAGTGGTGATGAAGAGCCAGCACCTTATGTGGGTTAAAGAGGGGATTTGTTTACTATATCTAGGGTGGATGAACAAGGATAGTCTTGAATGGCCAAATGGTCCCCTGTTGTCCATACATTAAGAACAAGTAGATATGTGGAACTTGCATTTAATGAAGAAGATACGTTACATTAAATTATTTATAACTTTTGAAATTTTCTCTTCAGTCTCCACCAGGAAAAGTGAAACAAGCTGTCATAGATGCTATTGATGCTGGATATCGTCAAATTGACAGTGCATTAGTGTATGGGAATGAAAGTGAAGTGGGTGCTGGGTTAAAGGAGAAGATAAGTGATGGAACTATAACCCGAGAGGATGTTTTCATTATTGACAAGGTAAAAAGCTTCTTTGTCCAAATTTTACCAATGGGGTTAAAGTATATTGAAAACATTTCTAACATACAAAATTATGCATTCTTTATTTATAAAGTTGGTGTGAAAGTCTTGTGTTTCAAATGTAATGTTTTTAAATAATTCAGTAACAACTGCATTCAGTGAAACCTATTACATAAATATATTTGCACAGAAGTTATTCCATTATAATTCACTATATAAAAAATTTCAGTCAAAACAGAAAGATAAAATGGTAAGAATGTTAGAAGTTGAATTCTAGAAGATGTTAACTTTCACTGTAGTACAGAAAAGAAAGTCTTGTTATGAAGTGGCCGTATTTAAACCAAATGTACTCCTTTCTTCTTAGTTATCAAGAAGTTTCTAATTAAGGCAGTTTTTTAAACAAGCAACTTTCACTGTAAGAACATTTATAAGGAATATTTTAACATTTGGTTGGAGCAATATTCCATAATTAATAGCGTAAAACACTTGAAGTGTGCAACAATTGGGTTTGGAATGAGCAACAAAGATACAGATTATTAACTACAGACAATGCCAAATGACCACATCATAAACATAGAATATAATAAACCTACTTGTTACTTAAACCCTAGGATTAATTACAGAATTTATATAAGTAAAGCATAGAACAATTATTAAAATTTGAAAAACACTGTTGTTATTAGTGAAAAGAAAGGTAGTTCAAATGGACAAGTTGTATTAAAATTTGATGACTCTTTGTACAGCAAGGATAGTTTTATACTTTCTGGAGTACTGACAAACTTCTCCACCATCATCTTCTGCTGAATATTTACAATAAATGCAGTCACAATATTAGCATCACACCTTTCCCTTCTGTATGAACAACATAAACACTTCTACTGTGACTTTTATATTAAACTGTTTATTTATTTTTTAAAAAGGAGCAAAAAATGAAAAAAAAGAAAAAAAAGAGTATAAAACAGTGTGTCCAAGGGTAGAATTTAACTTGTATATACATGTGTGTGTGTGTGTGTATATATATGTATACACACAAACACATCATATATATATATATATATATATATATTACCCTGAACAAAGAAAATGAGGTGATGTTTGAAATCCAGGCCTACTTTGTTTGTTCAGTTTTACTTGGCTTTCATTGTGACTAGTTCAGCAAAGATTTTGTCGTGAGAAACAAAAAAGCTGGTGAGCTATTCATTGATCCAGAAGAAGCGATTGTCTATGCAGATTAACACTTTTTTTTTATGTTTTGTCTAAATAAAGATTGTTTTCACTGTCATTTAAATGTTATCCAATTTGTTTATTTCTCATACAACTTAAAATTCAGTCAAGTGTGGAACACTTCTCATATTTCTTGATCAAATCTGCCTGTCTGATGCTTGGCACAAAATCAATTTTACACAAGGCTACTACGATAATTTTGGAAATAGTGTTAACATCACTTCTAGTTTGTGATATTGTAAAATGTTTGTGCCACATTTCAGCTACTAAAAGATAGATTGCTTTCAAGTTGGGAACATGATGTACTGACAATTCACAAAACATTCTTGCAGTTCTTCAAAATTGACACAATTGGATATTGATGATCAGACAGAAGTGTGATAATTTTGTTGTTACTTATGTTATATGTTTACACTTAAGTTCTGCCTCAGCATCTTTTATTTTTATGTATATGTAAGTTTGTTTGTTGTATACAGTTTTATTGTGAAGACTGTTTTTAACAATATTAAAGGCATTTCTTTCAGTGAGTAAATGTAAGTGTAGAGTTACAGATATATAAGTATAGAGTTACACTGCTCAACATCCAATCCCTTTGACCTTATGATGGTCACATGCTTGTTTTGGAAGTGTGCCCAGCAACATCCATGGGTGGATGACTTTAAAGCAGATTTTTGTGATAAGTATAATAAGATACTAGTATTTAATTAAACAGCTAGACTACTTATATAACTTATGTAATCTAAAAACAATGCTGTAAACTAATTAACCACTTACAGAAAGTACATATTTCTTTATAAGTGTTTTAATGCAAGTATTGGTATAACATAAAGAAATTTTTTCATCTGTAGAAAACATTGCAGTTTTCATAAAGATTATGAAAGACCGCTAGTTTTTAAAAATAAGCTTTTTTAACATCGGGTCAGAATTTTAAATTAAAATATATAAGATAGTGTTTAATTAATTTGATTTTAACATATGTTGGGTTTTGGATAGCTAGGGATTTGATTGTAATGTTAGATCTATTCAACTTTACTGTATTTAGAATCAAGTGCAAATTTGAAACAAAAAATGTTCCATATCTTGAAATAAATGAGTGACACATGACAAGATGCCTAATATTTTAATATAATTTTCAAGCCTTTAAAACTTTTTAAAAACTTGATTTATGCATTTTATGCAATTATAGTAAAACTGCAATAGAAATGTTTTTAAAATATTACCATAAATATTTCTTGTTTCAAAAATAATGTCTAAAGTAACGTAGCATTTTCTCTTTGTGGATTCTTGCTGCTACAATAAAACAAAATTGCATGTTATTGTTTGAAATTTAAAAATTTTATTGTACTTTCTTATTAACCTATTTATAAAGTTAAACAACTTGTTGATACTTTTTTTCTGTGTTAAAAGTGTATATACATCAACAGAAGCCAAAGTAGAACATTTGATAAATTGACAGACTGTTTTTAGAAATACTTTATTATGATGTACAGGTAGGTGAACTTTTTGTGGTCATATGCATTTGTTTTGATTTTCAAATAGCATGTTTTCTATTTGCAATATATCCAGTAATTAGGCAGAGCTGTAACCTTTCCTGTTAAGTTTAGAGAAAACAAATCAAGGAAATGTGAGACTGTTTTACAACCAAATATTTACTCATTGTTTCTAGGACCACTTAACAGTTCAAACAAACCAAGATACTAAAACTTCATGAGAGAAGGACCAAGTTAAAACTAAAACATTGTTTAATGTATTAAGTTTCAATGTATTTTATGAAATATTATTTTCTTGAACATGTGAGTGAAGAAAGTCCTAAATATAAGTTATGGTGGATTGAAAGGAATTTTTTTTTTACTACAGTGTTGGAATACCTTTCATAAGAGAGAACGAGTAGTTGAATGCTGCAAATTATCTTTGAAGAATTTGGGGCTTGAATATCTGGATCTGTATCTTATACACTGGCCGCTTGGCTACAAGGTATGATTAATATAAAGTTATATTTAATATCTAGATCTGTATAATATACACTGGCTGATTGG